CTGGGTAAGATGGTCGCATGCCAAGAACAGCCATCAAACAGCCTATTGGTTCTTTGAGCCCATCCAAGAATAAATGGAGTGACCAGTTTACCAGACAGCATTAGGCTCAGTAGATAAGGCAATGCCATATTCGACGTAGGCAAAATTGAAATCGCGATCTTCACATCTCTCCCGAATGAGTTGCATGCAGGGATGGAGCACATGGCCTGTAATGTCAGAGTCGCAATGCACACAACTGACGAAATTTGTGCAGTGATACCCCGTGAGTCCAAATCGCCCAAATCGCCCAAGTTCAGCCTCCTTGGCAATACCCAGATATTGAGTTTCAACTCCAGAGAATATGGATTTCGCAGCCAGCACAAGGAGGTCAATTGTCTTGGGAATTTGATTAGTTCGAAGGCCCAAAGAGAAAGTGAAGACAAACAAGCCCTTGTCGCATCACAGCTTTGATATCCAGGATGGAATCGCCGCTATGATGTACATACGCATTGTATATATCGAATGGGGCACCGCCATTGGGCTGTCGATAACCCATACCGGTCATGGCCCCGAGGTGAGACCACCGAGATAGTGCTTCTCGTTGATGAAGACCTTGGACTTTGACGAGACGGTGAGATTCCAGCAAAATGTCAAGAACTTCTTCCGAGAATGCTTTGAATCTAACCCCACCAACCTAGGGATAACTTTTAGCGCAATAACAGTGCGTGCATTCAACTCACCAGACGGATGAGGCCAGGTTCCACTTCACACCAGAACCTGACGATATCACGCCCACAGCGTGCCTGGACACCAGGTCTGGAGCGAATAAAGCGAAGACCTAGCTCCTCGCTTGTAACGTATTGCTGCTCCGCACGAGGCTTTCCCTTCCAACAGGGGTGAAAAAAATATACTGCGGGACAGTGGTCACACCTTGGGCGGTTTCGGCTTCAATCTGGATCCAACGGGAGCATCAGTGAGAGCGTAATCCTTGTAGTGGGCAGCGTTTGGATTGACAAAAACTTGAACGAGCCTCGCACAACGCTGCTCCTGATCAGGGATCATGGAGCATTCGCCGCAGCCATCATCGGTGTACCACGTAGGCTTGACAGATTCGTCGACTTTGAACTCGACGCTAAGTCGCTTGATCTTTTCAGTTTCCTCTATATGCTGCGCTTCGGAATTACGCCGCTTTCCGCTTTTGGATGTACTAGATTCAGAAGGTGGCCGATCAGAAGGAGGCCGATCAGAAGGTGGCCGATCGGATTGTACTGGGTCTGCAGCCATAGTTTCGGGAGACTTGACGCTTTTCGACGGTTTAGAGGTGGATTTTTTCGCAAAGAGCTGTCTATCGGCAATATGTCGTATCTGTTGCTGCCAGGCCGTCTCGGTAATAATAGTCCGAAGCCGAGGGTCCAGTGTGGGAAGAAGGCGTTGGGCAGCGGGAGCCAACCCGAGAGCAGGGTCACTAGGAATGCAAGAATCATCCGATTTCTGAGGGAGGATGAATCTCCAAAGAGCCCGATAGAGCGAGTTGACATCCCAACCGAGGGATTCCTTGAGGTGCATGAGAAGGATCAAATAACAACAAGAGAGCCACATACAGGGTAACCGAGACCAGACAGATGAGGCTGAATCCATTCTTTCCAGTTAAAACTGAACGAAGAATGCGACACGAGACAAAAGGCAGCCATGGGGTCATAAGCCCAAGGGTGCATTTGCCGGGTCCGGCCCCAATAAGATAGGAATGCCGGAACGAATACGTTGGCGTAAGGAGTTTCGATTTGTTTACTATGTAGGACTCGGAAACCAGGTTGCTCTCCAATGGTGTATTTCTATCTTGATCAGTGATAACCTTGCCGTTCACAAGATTCTCACCATTAAAACTTTAGGGGCTTCCGGTATCGAAGGAGAAGGAGGAGAAGGAGGAGGAGGAAACCATTTACAGAGAATCAGTTGATACGCAAGTTTCCATCTGTACTTCCGAAAAGAAGGCATAAGAGCGTTTTGATACTGGAATTCGAGCAAGTTGTCATTGCGGCAAAAGTCGAATAGGACCCGCTGAAGCCCTGATTGCTGTGAAAGTTCAGTAGAGATACTTGAGAGATAAGAAAAGCTCACTTGAACCTTCTTTTTCCACTCGGGGCTCCGATAGATCCGAGCAGGAATTCGGCGAAGCTTAATGCCGTCATCTCTCACGAGTTTAACCTGCTCAAAAAGGTCCTGAGAACTAGGCCAGGCGCTTTTCTGCCGACACAAATCAGCTGAGAAGTGCCAAAGGGCAGTTTCACAAACCCGGTAAAAAAGACCTTGGATGCGCTGGGTCACAGCGAACAAGTCAACATCGCTGCCACTCGCATCCGAAGCCTCTGTTTCTATGAATGGATCCTCCAAATTTTCCATCTCCTCGGCATCGACCTCATCATCACTCCTTTCTGAGTCCTCCGAGTCTTCCGCGTACCAAGAGCCGTCGGAATCTGAGTCATTTTGGCTGTCTGAATCGTAATCACTTGCCGAATCGCTGGCCGAATCGGAAAGCTCTAGAGAGGAGTCAGACGTGTTGGGAGGGAGAGGAATAACAAAAGTGGAGCCTGAGCCGAAATTGTAATTATGGCCGTAGGGAGCCAGCACCTCCTCCATGATCGACATTTGAGGAGCAGATGTCGGCTGCGGAAATTTCCCTCAGTTTCAGAGACAGTGGTAAAAGCTGGACTTGCACCAAAGGAGGAATTAGTTTGAAGAAATAGGTTCGGATTTCTACAAGACGCTGAAGAGCTGTAGCATCGTCCGAAGGCGTTGGCCGACGTCCAAAGCACTGTGAGTAGCGAAGGAACTGATAATCGACAAAATCCTCGAGGAGCCTTGGAACCCAACTGAGCTCCAGTCGGTTGAAATCCAGACCTGTCGCGCGCAAAAGATATTCCGCCACCAAGTTCACCTGAATCTTAAGTCAACGTTCCAAAGAGAAGCTGTACATACTTCAGCAGGAGAGCTTGCAATCTCTCGCACGAGGTTTTGCCGTGTAATCTTCGCCTGGGGTATCGGTTGATGCAGGGCGGCAAGCAAGGCCTGAGCATAAAGCGGCTTGGTCCATATTTCCGTGCGATCTTCAACATCTCGAGCGACACGAGGGTCCCAGAGTTCAATGTAACTCGGTTTAGGTTTGCGGCCCATGGAAACCGAAGGAAACAAAAAGCTGTGACCCTCAACTCAACTTTCTGTCACATCGATTGAACGTTAACGTGGACACACAGCCACGATTACCGGGACCGACCAGATTAGGCCCGCACGCCTAATCCGGAAATACGGCACATTCTCAAAGAATACTGCACACAGTAGGAAATACTGCACTTGTCCTGGTAAAATACTGCACTATAACACAAAATATTCACAAGTTCCTGGTTACCAAAGGATAAGAAATCATGCATAGTTAATATCTATCTTCGCACAAATACTACAATAATGTGTTTATGGCTTGAGATGTCTCGCGCACATGCCCTACGGAAACGGGCAAGAAGTCTGGTGAGACAGACACCGACCACGCAGTTGACGCGAAATACAGCAGCACCGGATCCAGCCCGCGGTTGCCCGGTCCCACAGTCCCCCATTGCTAACGTTGGCTGCCTGGACCTCCTCCGCCCCCATTCGGTGCAGCTACGCCTGCGAAACGCGGGCAACCCGCGGCCCGTTGGCGAAACCGCGGATACACACACGCAACACGCACGCCATCGACGGGAACGGCTGCGGGCCACCCTGGATTTACCCGCGGGTGGCCCGTGACGCACACTATCGCTGTATCAGCTTTTTATTCATGTTTGTGAAACCACTCACTGGGTAACCAACTCAGCGCTCTTCGAATTCACTCGTTTCACCTTTTTCCTCCGTCCCACCCTGCATGTCGTCGACCGTGACTGTCCACCAAGTTGCAGATGGCGGGAGATGGCGCTCAAAACTTTGAGGTGCCAGTGAGTGCCTTCGGTGCTGCGGGCGGCGCAATGGGGAGACATGGCGAGAAGCGAGAGGGCAGCGGCGCCGGGCGAAGGTGGTCCCGGTGGTGCGCTCTTGCCTACGCGTCACGTCAACAACACGCTGTTGCTTCTGGCACTAACGCGTATCGCCTTGGTATCGCCGCTGGCTATCCGCGAGCCAGCCATCTCCGCTGCCAATGGGGCCGAAGTCGATACAAGGATGGGGTCTCGTGTTTTGAGGGAACGGCGCCGCGACAGAGATTGTTCGAGCTGGTTCCGTGAGATGAATCAGACGATATCAGTGGAGAAGGCCACTGAGGACGCACCTGATCATCAGCCCCTCGTCTCGACACTCTCCCCAATGCTTTCCCTCTCAGGCGTTGGCGGCGATGCAGTCGCGGATGGCGAGAATCGAGGGGTTTCGGTGTCTGAAGTGGCTTGAGCAGTGCGGAGGGGAAATGCAGAGGGAGGAGGGCAACGTCAGGATACTTGTGGTGGTGGTTGGCGGAAGAGGAGTGTTGTCACGCTCCCGTGCGGACCGTCACGTCAACAACGCGCGAGATTACACATGATGCGCAATTGCTAAATTTGGGAGTGCCGGATTCTGTTTCAAGAGTGGCCATTTTTGCTGAAAGTGCAGTATTTCGACCACATGTGCAGTATTTCCCGATTAGGCGTGCGGGCCTAATCTGGTATAGACTCCACGATTACCGTGGGCCGAACCAAATACCCAATACCAAATAAATTACGACGCCTGCGAGACCACGGACCATAAGAACATCATCTTAGTACTCCTGCCCTGAAATCAGCTACATAAGCGGAAAGCAGCCACAGCGGTGTTTCTCCATACAAATCCGTGACCTGTTTCGTGCGCGCAACACTGGAGATGATTTCGAACCATAAGAAACAGAGTATCTCAAATGAGGGATTAAGGAGGTAGGGCATGAGATCCTTAGAGGATGAGACTAAGTACGGAGTACTAAGTAAAAGGGCAGAGGAGTGAGTACAGTAAAAAAGCGGTCAAGCGTGGACATTTTATCCCATACTGGAACCAGACTATGACGGGCAGCCTCCACCTCCACAGGCAACGGACGGAGTGGATTGGGTCGTCTGACAATGAGTTGACGAGAGTGATGACAGCTTGAAGGTGCGGAGGGCCAGAAGAACGGGCCGAGAACAAATTGTCTCTTGAGGAGGACGAATGGAAACCATGCCATTGTACCATCCTGTCCCAGTAAAAAGAGGCGATCCGCCCCACGAGTAAAGGCGTAGACCACACTTGACGTGTTGATTTTGCAGACGAACCGGGACAAAATCGCTGCAGGCGAAGACAGTTATGTGTCCGAAATTGAATAAACGACCAAGGGTTTTGAATAAGATAAGTGTCCCGAAAGGAAGCGAAGGATGACAATGACAAGACCCAAGGAACATGTCCAGCACTGAGCGTTGAACAGTACGAGTGGCCATTCCGGTCAAAGTGGGAGAGGGTCCAAGTTCAATCAAACGCTCGAAGGCAAATTCGGTGAAAAGGCGATCCTGAGTCTGAATCCAACGGACAGGGGACGCGAATTGGTAAGCGAGGAGCTCAACAAGGATGATGTAGGCGAGCTTCTGACGTTGCTCGGCACTTGACCAGTTCTCCTGGTCCCACTTCTTGAGAACTTTATCGAGACGTGGGGAAGAAGTCTGGTAGTAAATGATTTGCGCATACTCCTTGGTCATAGCGAAGGGGATAGCGATGAGATTGGGGATGTATTTGCCCATGAGCATGTCGAGATCAAGCTGGGTAACGGTGATCTTCTTCGACAAGTCGGAAAAGAATGATTTAGCAAAGTGAAAATGAAAACGAAAAAACGCATACAAGCTCGGAAGGGCAAAACACCAGCCCAGAGGTACTGTGAGTGGAACGGCACATCGATACCGGGGAGGGGGATTGTGGCGAAGCAACGCTCGAGCTTGATGTGGCCCTCCGCCTTATGCTGGTCTTGGGCACGACCGAAGCATTCCTTGACGATGTCTCCCAGCATCTCCTTGACCTTTTCGACGGTGAACGGCTCCGTCAGCTGAACAAACACAATGAGTTAAGTCGAATGTAACGGATATGACCAACATACCCTTGGAGATGTCGATCTTCTGAATCTTCAAGTAGTTGAGCATATTCGTCATCGTTTGCAGAGCGACAAGTTCTCCAGCGCAGACATATTGCTGACCCTACGAATGATGAGCATAGGAATCGAAGAACATAATGAAACAAACCTCGACGTTGAAGTTGACGATCTCAAGCAAAGTACCTGTCAAAGTCGAAATAGTATCAACAACCTCTCGCAACGCCGCATCGGTGAAAGTCTTGGAGATACGACTCGGGTTAACAGCACACATCGCGTAGTTGGAGCGGTTGTGCGCGTCACGCTCGACAGCGCGCCGCATGGTAATACCACGGTAGAAGACGACATCGACGAGGGCGGAGATGTGGAGGACATCGGCAATTGAGGCCAGGGCAGAATACTCTCCAAGACTGTGGCCAGCGAAAGCGCAGTCTTTCTGAACAAAGCCCTTCATGCGCATGTCCTCGAAAGCGGCCTTCTCCTCGGTGACAACAAGCGCGATTTGAGCGAACTGGGATGCGAAAAGCAGACCTTGCGGGTGGCTGAAGGTATACTTGGGCGTGCGAACATCAATGTCCGAGAAGAGCGGGAGGGTCTTGACGTTCCCGTCCTTGTCCATCGTGTCGTAGGTCATGTCCATGTAGCGACGACGAATAGCTTGACCCTTGATACCACCAAAGTGGATGGTCTTCTCCTTCGGGTTGTCCTTGACGATCTCGACGATCGAGAAGCCATAGACTGCAAGCAAGTGGGTGTCGGCTCCATCCCAGACGGCACGAGCAGCAGGCAATGAATTGTACAAGTCCATGCCCATGCCCTGCTCTTGCGAACCTTGACCCGTGAAAACGTTGACCGTGGTGGGTTGCGAAACCTCGGCCGAGCCCCCTAGCACCTTCTCGCCACGAGAGTTACATAGAAGTGGCAATGTTGACGACGATGCTTCCATCCCGCATGCCAACGTGGCGAATTTTGACACTGAGTTCGTCACCAGGAATGACCATGCCAACGAACGAGACGTCGTAGCTGAGTAAAATTAAGTTAGAAAGGGAAAGAAATTAGACATAAAAAACTTACGAGAGAACGCGTTCAGGGTGTCCCTTGGCAACAACAGTCTCGACATAGCGACGAGTGGCCGCGCTGGACCACAATCCATGGGTGATCGTGGCAGGGAGGGAGGCATAGTCGGAGAAGTACGGGTTGATGTGGATGGGATTGAAGTCACCCGAGACCTTCGAGTAAGGCTCGTTGGTAAGTGGAGCGTGGAACGAAATTGGGGTCGAGTTCAATGTGTAGCCCTCGTTGGGGAGAGGCGTCGAGAGACCTTGCGCGACACCATGTCGTTGAATGTAAGCAACGACCGGGTTACCACGGCCGTCATCTGGCTCGAAGTCGATTGAGCCAACAGGAATGAGCTCCTTCAGCTGGTTGCGGACGAAGACTTGACCGGTAACGGTGACATTGCTGTATGAGGTCTTGTCCTTAAATGTGACTTAAGACTGGACACGGAAGATCAAGCTCGTTCCAGCCAACAGCGGCTTCGACTCGTCGATCCACTCGAACCATTCCTTCGATTGCAGAACACCAACAGCAGCATCCGTTTCGAGCTTGACAACGTAGTCAGGTTCCTCCGTCGTCTCGAAAGTGTTCTCGTAGTCGGTAAAGCGACCACGGTAGAGGAAGGCGGAAACGACCTCGATGACCGGCTTCCCGGGCCGGCTGTGCGTGTGGCGGCTGGCCCGCTCGACGCGGGCTTCAGTGGCTCGCATTTCGCTCGGCGGGTAGGTGAGGAGGTGGGCGGAAGCAAGCCCTTGGCCCCGTGGGAGCTTTCCCGCTTCTTTGATCGGGTGGCGTAACGATGACGACGCTGGGAGGTCCGCCCTTGCATGGCTCTCGGGCAGCGGCGGCTCCCCGGGTGACTCTCGTGGTGAGAGCCACCTTGCGGGGCCGTCTCTGGCATCCGAGCTTGCCCACTGGGGTGTGGGAAACCGCCCATGATGGTGGTACGGAGTCAAGTGACCTCACACCGGAAAAAGCAAAATATCAGCTTGAACAGAAACTGTAATTGATTTTAGACCAATCTGAAGTAGAATTAGGCCGACTTAAATGCAAAGTTTTAATTGAGCAGAAACCTACTCAGAATTTGGACAAAGATGTACAAAAATCAGCTCCAACAAAACCCCTTCTTTCTTCTAACCCGAAATGGCCATAGAAACTACGCCTATCAGTGCTAGTTTCTGCGCTATTGAAAGTGGCAATTTATAGCTCACTGATTCTTGCACAGAAACAAAGGGTTTCTGTGCAAGAATCAGTGAGCTGGAAACAGACAGAAACCCTTTGTTTCTGTACAAGAATCAGTGAGCTATAAATTGCCACTTTCAATAGCACAGAAACTAGCACTGATAGGCGTAGTTTCTATGGCCATTTCGGGTTAGAAGAAAGAAGGGGTTTTGTTGGAGCTGATTTTTGTACATCTTTGTCCAAATTCTGAGTAGGTTTCTGCTCAATTAAAACTTTGCATTTAAGTTGGCCTAATTCTACTTCAGATTGGTCTAAAATCAATTACAGTTTCTGTTCAAGCTGATATTTTGCTTTTTCCGGTGTGCCTCCCATCGACGGGCTTGTACTCGAATTGGAGGGAGAGCGGAACGGACACATCGCGACGATCTTCGAAAATGGTGATGTCGATGAGTTTCGTTGTCGGGGAGTACTTGATTTCAACGGCCTTGAACAACTCCTTGTGCTCGCCGTAAGAACGAGCATAGAGGGGGGGACCGAAACGGGAGCGCCATTCTCATAGCAGACAACAATCTTCTGGCCTGTTCGTGGCGCAAGAAGTCGCTTGATGGGGTTGTCGATGTAAGAAGTGCCTTGAACGCGATGGTCGTCGAAGGGGTCAAAGCACTGAATGCTATCCGCCCACCAGTGTGGGGCTGGCTAGACCGTGATCGGCCCTGATGGGAGCTGTCAAGTCACATGTAATGATGTGAATCGCAGCAAACGCACATGTCAAAACTCCGACTGTCACTCAGAAGGTCTTCGGGACAAGTCGCGCCTCATACCGACGCGACGCGCTGTTGGAGGTAGAGGCTGCAGGCGTTACAGAGCGGGCGGTGGGTGGCCCGACCCGCCCCGATATTATGTCATTTATGACTTGCGCACCTTGCGCACAATTGTGCCGCGTCAGCGCTCCTGAGTGGCAGTGAGCGACCTTCACTCAGTCTCAGATGCATCGACAACTTTAGGGCCGCCCGACTTGCGCCTGACTTGAAGAGACGTCGACGACTGGTCAAGATGATGGCAAGATCAGCACTATGATGGTTGCTTGACAGCGGCCCATCACGGTCTAGCCAGCCCCACACTGGTGGGCGGATAGCATTTAGTGGTCAAAGCGCGCAACCAGCTCAGCTCTTGACCGCCCAAGGTTCTGAGCCAAACCGAGGTAACAGGCAAGCGGTCGACGCGTCGACCGCTTGCCTCTCTTGGGTGCGTTTAATGCACGGGACGACGGAAAAGAGGAGGAATGGGATGGGCAGCGAGGTAGTCGATGGTGGGAACTTTGCTTTCGTCGCCGTTGTCTTGGAAGCAAGAAGACGTTGAATGAGTTCGGCATGAATGTTGCCCAACATATCCTTGATCGGCTCGTCCTTGACCTTTAATGTTTAACAGCCATGGGGCCCTGAAGGATGCAAACGCGCTGGGGGTCTTGGTCGAAGACAGCCTCGATGTCTTCAGCAGCCCAAAGAGAGTCCTACGGAGAAAAATCAGTCATAGTAGAAGATAGGGACAGTCAAACGAACCTTCTTGAACCAGACTTCGAAAGTGGCATCGAGAACAGGAATGAAGGGAACAGGCTTGTGACCGGGACGTTGGGAGATGGCGAGGAAGTAGGCGGAGTCTTCTGCAGCAAGGAGCTGCTTAGTGGCGATCGGATACTCATTCAAGAAGGACTTGATGAAAGGCAGGGGGTCTTCCAGGGACTTGTAAGACTGAAGCAGAGAAGGCTTCTGTCCACCACCGTTGACACCCGCGAAACGCTCTTCAACACGACGAAGCCAATCGCCGGTTAAGTTGCGCAACGAGACATCAACCCAGCGCTGTTCGTGAGCAACGAACATCAGGCGCACCATACGCAAAACGGTTTCCTCGTAAGTCATGTCGCCGAGCTCCTTTGCGACACTGCCATCCTTCTTCCAACCAAACCACGGCTTGCTGAAGACGCGATTCAGCTTGCCGATAATCTCGTCCCGTCGCTCCAACAACCAAGCGGCACGCTTCTCCTTCGGCATCTTGAAAACGGTGTCGTCGAACTCCTTCCACAATTTGACACCACGAGTTGCAACCTTGTGAATTGGCTCGCCACCATGACGTGACTAGCATTGACAAAAAGGAATCCATCAAAATGCATCGGTTGAACTTCGTACTTGACGACCCATTCACCAGTCAAGTATGGCCAAACATCCTCCGCGGCACCGAAGCCACTGCCACCAACGAGAGAGATATTGGGTTGTTGGCGGATTGCGCGGTAAGTTTGGAGAATGGGCTGATGGAAGTCCTCAGCGCGACCACCAGTCCATTGGAGGATGACGGGGAAGTCGGCGTTGGCAGCAGCGATGGGGTTTGAGTGGGTCGTGATGGCGCGACGCAATGACGGAGGTGAGCAAGAGTTCTCGTTGTTGTGACTCGTGAATCACACTCTTAATCACACTCTTAATCTCACTCTTTCAGACCCGACAGTCCTACGGCAGGAAAGTACGCGGTCCTATCTTCTCATTAGTCTCACACCAGTCATTTTTCCACCAGAAGTTGACGGCTCCCTTGGACTTTCTATTGTCCAGTCTCCCCCCTTCCAGCCCGCCGACTTGGCACTGCATTACATAGGTTCCTGCTTCCGTCACTGAGGACTTGGATGCATCTAGTGGCTGCCTCCCTTATACCCCTTCCTCGGCCGGAATCTCCTGATGCAACTACCTATGCCCAAGAAGATATTCGACGATGGTCGGCCTCTGAGGCGAGTAAAACTGAGCTTATTGGGGTCGCCCTCCCGGCATTGCTTGCTCTTTTGCGGCCAATTCTTCAAGATGACCGACCTCTCACACTAGTTAACCCACTACACCAAGCGGCAATGGACCTGCTTTCAATATCTCTTCTTGATGAAGTGGAGGACGCACGTCAAGCTGTCCTTTACACTGGGCATATATTCCCCACGAATTTACATTTATTGCGGACGCCATTGGAAGCTACGGCTTCTCCCTATATTGGTAACGTCTCACCCCCGGATTCCCGCATCACGCAGGACGCTAAGGTGGTATTGCAATGGCATACTGAAACCCAGGACCGAATTTATCAACTCCACCAAGAGGTAAACTTATCCAGTTCAGAATTTTGGGTCTACTTACCCTCTTTTTGCAGAATGAAACTCTCAGAGAACAAATGCATCTGCTCCAACAAGATTTGAAACGGGTTTCATCCACTCCCACCGATGGGCCCTTAGTGTGTATATTCAATGGTGGCAAGCAATGCATAGGCGTTGGCTCCACATACTCCTTTGGCGCCGTCTGCAACCATAGTAGGGTCAAATGCAAGACCCAAGAAAGTCCAGAGAACGACTGAGGCTCATGCGTATGCGCTGCAACGGACGATAACCCCTCCCCCAGATGTTGAAAATTGGCGTATTTGGTTCATAGCCAATCAACAAGAACCTTTCGCTGAAGCACTCAGACATAAGGTCCAGTCCAAAATCCAAAGCCACCACACGGCCCAGGTATGAAGTTCTCGTCTCATGTTGCCAAGCGCACTGAAACTCCAGGTAGCGTGCAGCCTGTGAACGCTGCATTCTGGATAAACGGCCTTGTGTCTTTCTGTACAAGGTGCTGGGACCTGAAAGCCGGTGTATTTGGTGTTCCTGGATTTTACGCAACTCAAGGACTCGATGCAAGCCAGGTACATCCTCAGAGTATTTCTTAGGTCAGTGTACCTGAGTTTCTAACGGAGCAATGTGTATTCTCATGAGTAATGCAGAGACCGTAACACAGGCAATCATCAAGTACTGCGATCGAGTAGTGGAAATTGACCAGCACGTGGGAGGATGGATGGGCCCAGACGTTCAGCCGCTATCGTAGTGGAAAGGAATGATAGTTACTCAAACATTAAATGACTCCAGAAAGTTGGTGCAATTGGCGCGATCGCGTCCATGCGTGAGCGAGTAGGACATGGGAGCGACTCGGAGCGAGGGCCTCATTTCTTGTCCTCGACGCGTTGTTCATTCAAATTCGTGCTTATATCCCCACCCGACCGATCCTCTCTATCGGTCCCTGGTCTCTCGGCATTACTCTTCCTCCTCCCTCCGTTTTGCTCCCTCCGACAAGACAAGACAAATATATTCACAGTACTCCTACATTTTGGTTTTGTTTGTTACTCCCCCAAAACTACGATTCACTTCACACCCGTCACCTTGATGTCTGTTTCTTGAAGATTTACTTCTGCCACAACAAGTGTTCGAGGTTTGAAAGCGTGCCCTAGGACCCTCGCGAGGCTGACGAGCCTCGAAGGGTTGTGCAACCCTTGTGAGACCGTCCATGAACTCCCAGGGGGTTGAATCTGGCCCTTGCAACGAGTGCTAAAAGACTTTGAGTTGTCGACAATGTTTGAGACCTCCACCAAATATGCCTTAAAAGCACATAGCTAGATAAGTGGTGGGAACTCCAGTTGGCCCAAGCTCGGACCGAGCATGGACCGAGCTGTCAAAAGCGTGACGGTACGTGACGGT